TCTCTTGGTGCACGGCCTGCGGCAATTGGGCCTACAATTTCAGAATCAGGAGGAATGGCGGCAAGTGCGGGAAGTGCCAGGCCCACATCTCTCTTCCCGCGCCGTGGTGGGAGCAGCCAGGCCAGCAGCAGGGCCAGCAGCACCACCACCAGCCATCCTCTCCTTCGACGGCTACGCCAGACCCGTCGGCGATGCTGGCCTTGCTCGCCAGCTTGCCGATGTTCGCGGGTGAGGCCAAGACGCTCCTCGCCGCCAAGGAGCGTTGCGACGCGGCAGCCGTGCCGACGCCGCCCACGGCCCACACCTCCTACACCGCCACCGCCAAGGAGCTTGAGAAGAAGGACGCAGCGCTCAAGTCGGCGGCCGAGGCGGTTGTGGCAGCGGAGGCCACCCTGGCACGTGCCCAGCAGAGGGCCGAGGAAGCCACGGTGGCCCAGATCGTCGCGCAGCAGGCCCATGACAAAGCGGTCGCTGCTGTCGCGGCCAAGGCAAACATCAAGCAGGTCCCCGACGGGTACACTGCAGACGGCAAGCGCGTGGTCTTCGCCGTGGACGACGCGCTCTTCTCCGACCTCAGCGAGTTCGACGAGACGCAGCAGGCCGAGCTCCGCGCGTTCGAGGCGGAGATCAAGCAGAGGATCGACCAGGTGGCGGCGATGCAGGCGGAGGTGCACGCGCAGTACGACAAGGTGCGCGCCCTCCGCAACTCCCCGCCGAAGCGCCAGCGGGTCGACGAGGAGGGAGGCGCCGCCGCGCCCGCGGCAGGCGCTGCCGCAGCGGCTCCCGCAGAGCCGGCGGCAGCCGCAGCCGCCGCCGCCCCTCCTGCCGCCGACCCTGGCGCCGCGGTCTCCGCCCAGGCCAAGGAGGACGGCCTCAAGGCGGCCCTCGCCAAGGCCCGCTCCGACTCTGTGGCCAAGGCGAAGGGCAAGGGCTCGGCCAGTGCTTCGAGCGCTGGCCCTGGCGCTGCTGGTGCTGCTGGCAGCGCCCCTTCTGCCGCTGCTGGGGCCGCTGGCCCTGCCCCAGCCCGCGGGTAGCAGCGCCCCACCGCAGCCAGCGGGCGCTGGCTGCCCACCGCGGACGAGTTCTTCCCCTACATGTTCAACGGCGTCCCTGATGGCGGGGTCTCCCCAAACTCAGAGAGATGACGAGCAAGGTTCCGACTCCAAGCTCTTCTTCGCCAACATCTCCGAGTGGGGCCCCACCGCGAAGGGCTTCATGAGAGGCCAGGCGCCCTCCTACGACCTCGTCGCGTTCTGCGAGACGCACGTCCTGGGAGAGCAGCTGGCCACCGCCAAATCCGATCTTGGCAAGGACGGGTGGAAGGTGACGGCCACCCCTGCAGTATTGACCGGAAGGTCTGATGCTGGCAACACAGGTGGAGAATGGGTAGTCTCGCGCAAGTCAGTCTGCACCACCTCCTTCGAGTCCTGGCGCCAAGCAGAGCTTCAACGCACAGGTAAAGATTGTTTCCGAGGATTCGCTCCTCTCTTGTGGCACACGCGCGTCGGCAACATAGTGGTTGTCTCCTGTCACTTGCTTCCTGGCCACAAGTTCAAGGGCCCGAACGAGCAGATGCTGATCCGCCTTGCCTCGTTCTTGAAGCAGATCAAAGACCCCTGGATCCTGGTTGGCGACTGGAATGCGGTTCCGTCTGATTGGTCCAAGACTGCCTGGATCTCCAAGCTCGGGGGCAACATCTGCGTGCCCATCAACGGCCAGGTCACGTGTAACAAGGGCCGCGGCTCCCTCATCGACTACGCGATCGTGAAGGAGGGCCTCGCCGACAGCATCCGTGTGCATATTGTCCCTGAGGTCCCATGGCGTACGCACGCTGGGATATGCGTCACGCTCAAGGCGGGCAAGAAGGCGTGGTGGCATCGCAGCCTCAGAGCCGCCCAACCTCTGCCGGCACTCCCGAGGCCTGTCCGCGCGGCTGACCCGAACAGCAAGCGGCAGAAGGCCATCGCCCAGGCGAAGCAGCGCCGCCGCCAGGAGCTCGACGACTACCTGCAGGAGGCGTACGCCGACCTCTACGACCACGATGAAGCCCCTCCAGCACCAGCTGCAGGACCTGCGTTCAACATCCCCTTGGAGTGCTGGCAGGCCGCCAAGGACAAGCCGTACGAAGGCACCCCCGCACATCGGCCTCATTTCCTGCTCGATCGGGATCCCGAAGTACGTGACGATGTTGGCCTACGCTACGGGCGATGGGTCCAAGCAGTGGAGGAGGCAACGATAGCACACCACGAGCTTCCAGCAGGTGATGCCAAGAAGTGTCGTGGCAGGGCACAAGGATACGATATCGAATGGAAAATCACGCGAGCCACCCCGTCCAGGCCCCACTTGAGAGATCCGCTACTCGAATGGTGGAACCGGTGCACGTCACTACTCTCGAGATTGGGCATCTTCCGACGGACGGCTCGAGTTCACGACAACGCCTACACGATGACCAAGCTCCTCGAGTTGCTGGACGTTGGCCTGGACAGCGACTTCCAGAAGCCCTTCGGCGACGACGACCAGTTCTGGACCTGGGTTGCGGCGATCCAGCAGATTGGCACTGCCGACGATGAGGAGTTCGACACCATACTCCAGCAGGCGGAGTCCTACAAGAGCAGAGCCATCGGCCTCTCGTTGTCCAAGGCTCGCAAGGGATTCCAGGCCTGGGCCACCAAGATGTGGAAGGAGTCGCCAGGAATTCTACACCGCCACGTGAAAGGGGTACCTGACAAGCCCGACGAGATCATTGCTGACTCCAAGGTCTTCGCCACCCCTGATGAGATGATGGACAAGCGTGCAGATGATTGGAACGAGATATGGAGCGACGACACGATGGTCCCTGCCAAGATCATCGACGGCCTCCAGTACGTCATGGGCAGGGCCGACACCCAGGACCTCGAGCAGCTCACCGCCGAGCGCATGAACAGCGCGCTGGGCTCCATGAATGGCAAGAAGGCCAAGGGGGTCGACGCCATGGGCCCCATCGAGGTGCAGCGGCTGCCTGCTGAGGCCCGCCAGGAGCTGCTCGAGCTGGTGAAGCACATCGAGCGCGTCGCCATGTGGCCGCACCAGCTCTTCATGGTGATCGCCGCCGTCGCCCCCAAGCCGAAGGGGGGCGACAGGATCCTGGGCCTGCTCCCGTTCCTGCCCAAGTTGTGGAGCAAGATGAGAAGTGCTGACTCCCTGGACTGGACGGTGGCCATGGACGAGCATTGGGACACAGCGATCCGTGGCTCGTCTGCCCTGCAGGCTGCCTTGGTCCGATCTCTCCTCGATGAGACCTGCCAGGAGATGAAGATTTCATGTGCTACCTTGCTCCTGGACTTGGAAAAATTTTATGATAGTATTTCGATTGCCAAGATGTGTGCAGCAGGTATTCGCCAAGGTTTTCCTGCTCTCATCCTCGCGCTGGAGTTGCAGCTGTTCCTTGCCCCGCGGCACCTCAAGGACAGGCTCTGGCTGAGCAAGGCGATTCAACCTGAGAAGAGTCTAGTGGCAGGCTCGCTGCAGAGTGGACGCTTCGCGAAGGCGTTCATGGGCCCCATGCTGGACAGGGCC